GTCTGTTTCATATATGTCATGATCGACCGAATTTTCTTTTCTACATATCCTTGATTGAGGTGGTTCACATGAAATATATTTTAGTTTGTTTCACAGTCAGATCACCGTAGCCATGGCATTTTTCTGAATAGACCAATCACGTACCAGATTTGTCAGAGCCAGATTTTTGCGACTCTTAAGCCAATGCAAAATGGGGGACATTTTTATGCCACATCTACGGTTTAATCAGGGTATCAAACGTCGACCATGTGCTCTGTAACCTAGAAAGTTGATTATATCAAGAAGAGAGCGCACGGCATTACCTGCCCACTGTACACCTTTGTTTCGCCCGCAGCTGCCCTTTGTTTACCGGCCTGGCGGCTCACCCTTTGATTACGTTCGTAGCGCGATTTTCCGCGATTGAACATGTCATTTATTCACATGTTTTATCAGAGCCAGTGGTTGGAAGATGTGACACTTAAGCTTAAGCTTATGCAATGGGTGTCGTTTTCATGAAACGTTCATCTACTAGGATGTAAGTGGTAACTATGGTATCAAATATAGACCATGTCCTAACCCACGATTTCATCACATCAATTCAATCTTCTATACAACTCCCATACACTAACCGGTGCAAACATTTTCACGGTTTTGTAAATGTGATAAACTTAATATACTGAAACATAATCTTACTTAAGAAAAACATTGGAAAGCGTTATTGTCAAATTTGTAGAAAAGCTGTGTAGAATCCAGTTATCTAAACTGGAGCGGAAATATTTTTGATTGACAGAGGAGGTCAGGCATGGTGCAGAGAGAAAAGGACATGATTTAGCGCCCAGGACATCTTTTTCTCCATCACTGCAGATGGACAATAACCAATTATATAGTGTAATTCAACAGTTTAATTGGCAGTGAGCAAATAAGATAGGGACACGTATACAAAAATGCTCAGAAGGCAGCATCTAGTGTCCAGGGTGTCTGTTTCTCCTTCATTTTACAAATTTGTAGCTGGCGACAGTCGACGCGAGCCCCCAAATCTCTCCATAATTGACAATTGTCATAATTACTATTTATCTGTTGTAGACTGACCTCTCCATCCTCCTGATAAGCTGTGCAGTACAGTACGTCTGAGTTTTTACTGTGGTTGCGACCTCTTCCGCACAGCCGTCGTGCTAGAAGACAAGTTGGAAACATTAGGTGGGTACTGGATGTTGCAATTAATTCAGTTGTTGCTGTTTGTTATGTTTGTGCTCGTGTGTGCGCATGTTCTTGCTAGCTTTAGCCGAACATTCGGAACCAAAATACAAGTACACTTATGCACAGCTTTTTAGGTAGCTGTCCTACATTCGTTATTGTCCCATGGCCAATTTTTCCACTGTCAAAGACCGTTTGCCGAACTAATGATCAGTGTAACCCGGATACTCAGGTGGTTGAAGTCCCCTATAGCAGTGCTAGTCCGATTGGTAGATGCCTCGCGCAGGTAATCCATCGTTGTCATGAGGTGATCGATCAGCTCGTCAGCCTACGGTGAGTGTGGCGGCGATTAAATACGACAAGAGGCTATGGATGAATAGTTTCTGAGGACGCGATATGGCCGCAGCTCCATAGGCATGCTAGGTGTTTCGAAACTTTAATATCTTTGATGGCTGATGAGGGAATGTTGTCTCGTATGTATGATGCAACGCCGCCGCCTCGGCGTGAAGACTGTCATTTAAAACATATATTGTAACCCTCGAGAGACTTGAGTTGAATCAGTGTTGACAGTGTGAAGTTGTGAACCATGCAGGTTTAATCTATTGCTGCCATACCGATGTTGTTGTTTAGAAGGCATGATTGATATTGATAATCTGAGATTGTGTAGCACGGAGTAGGCGCAGTTGATAGTCTTCAGGTTTGCGCGCAAATTTAAAGTTGGTGCGAATTCTGACCAGTGATAATATCCTGGTAATAGTTTGTTTTCCGTACAAGGTTTGTACCTGTGCCCTCTTCCCTCTAGGCCCAGAGTGGCCTTGCAGAAGACAGTAGTCAAACGACAAGTCCTTTACTTTAGAAATTGCTGTGAATGGTTACTTTTCTCCAAGTTTCTCATGAAGTCTGTAATATTTAACAGGGATTCATGATTTTCATTGCTTTTAGTCGGGGAAGGGTTGTCAGTAGGTCCAGTTTTCCGCTAAATCGTTATAAAATGTCGATAGTAGATCCATCTAGAGCGGTCCAGGCTACTCCATACACGATGACAGTTACGTACAGAGTCAATCACAACTGAAGTATTCGTTAAAAACTGAGAACTTCCAAATACCAACGAGAGCAGTTTATTTCTCCGTGGCAGGCCCTAAAATCGCCAGCTCACACCGTACCCTCCTTTGCAAAACCTTTAAGCAAAACCGGCTTTATTTTTACCCAATGAACGGGCTAAGAGGCTATTTTATTCGTCGTTGCCAAAAGAAGCAATGAAACCATCGGTATGTTTGTGTTAGTATTTAGGGAAATGGAAAGTAGGTGAGGAGAGTGCGTCGGGGCCACTTGCCACGATGTCGCGTGGAAGGACTCGCACTCCGCGAAGGAAGAAAGGGGGCACTATTGGCACTTCGGGTGGGGAAGGGATAGTATCGTACAGGCAGGAGATGAGTAAGATGAGGCGCTGGTGTGTTGTGTGTCTGTCTTGCTTCATGTCATTTACATGCTTTATCAAAGCAAGAGTTTGGTAGATGTCAGACTCTTTAAGCTTATACAATGGGTGTCACTTTCATGTAACGCATGATGTTAGTATGTGCACGGTGTAACTATTGTATCAAACGTAGACCATGGCTCATCCCCCGACTTCACATAATTCAATATCCTACACAACTCTAATATACTAACTAATGTATAGGAAGGATGTCACACAAGAAAAACAAATTGTAAGAGCTTCCTTTTTGAAATTGGCAGGAAAGATGAAATTATGTGTAAAATCCAATTATTAAAAACTGGAGCAGAAACATTTTTGATTGACAGAGGCGGTCAGAAAGGGAGCAGAAGATAATAGGAGATAATCCAGCGTCTAGGATATCTGTCTCTGTCTCATTGTAGAGAGAATAGGACATTATACTACTCTCCAAGCAGAGGTTGTGGAGGAATACTCGTTAGCTTTTTATATATGGCCGTTCTTTTTTGTCGCTGGCCGGCGACCTTCTCTGGCTAATGGATACTGCCTGGCCAATTTGATACTGTCTTTTTGCCACCGAAAGGGATCTGCTTGGAGATTAACATTATACGTCTCCTTGCACAGTTTAATTAGCAGTGGGCAAATAAGAAAAGGACACGTATACAAAAATGCTCAGAAGGCAGCATTCAGCTTCCGGGGTGTCTGTTACTCCCTCACTTACGAATTTGTAGCTGGCGTTACACAGTTGACGCAAGCCTTCAAATCTTTACATGTTTGGCAGTTGTCATAAGTACCTAATCATCTAATGTGGATTGGCCAAACGCGGATCATTTGACACCTTGTTCTCCTGATAAGCTGTGCAGTAGAGAGGCGACCTCTTCCGCACAGCCGTCGTGCTCGAAGACTAGTTGGAAACAGCAGGTGGGTACAGAATGTTGCAGAAAAATTAACCCAGTTGCTGCTCTTGGTTGTGTTCTCCCTTTTTTGCGCGCTTGTGCCTGCTTTTGCCAATTATTCGAAACTGTTTACTGGCAAAATTATAATTGTCAAGTAGATTTATTTTCGGGGACGAATAGGAGTTTATTGGCCAGCCCGCACTGTCTACGGACTGGCCAAAAGACTCTTCTTGCCCAGGAAGAAATCTGCTTGAAGATTACCAACTGCCATTTTAGAGCAAGTACGGAGTCGTCGGCGCGGTAGACTTATTACCTTATTTGCTGCTCAAAGCCGGGCTGATGTAGAGCAGGTGCTACACAGTCGACGAAAAAAATTCTTAGCCTTCTGTGCAAATATCTCGATTAAAAAATATTTGGTCGATTGTACCCTGAAGCCAAACACGTGAGTTCTAGGCATATGGGTACATAATGAGTTTTGCAACCTTCAACCACGACGGGATTTGAAAGTTTTGAGATTCCTTCAAATGTATGCAACAGGTGTCCTTTTTTATATGTATTCGGCATATCTATGGTATCAAACGTCGACCATGTGCTCTATAAGCTAGAAAGTTGTTTTTATCAAGAGGAAGGGGCAAGGCATTATACCTGTCGGCTGTGCGCATCTGTTAACGTTACGCCCGCTGCTAGTTTTACAGGCCGGGCGGCTCGCCTTTTGATCAGTATATGTTCGTATTGCAGTTTCTCTCTGCTTAATAGAAATGGAAATATGCAAATACAGCTATATTTCTATGTGCCCATAAATAGTTATTGATGTTTTCCTTGATAAGTTGACATTTTTCTTGAAAGTTCAAAATGTGTTCCTTCAAATGAGATATATGGAGAATATATCATGTATTGAGGAAGGAAAGACGTTTGCGTATAATTTTCGAGGCGAATTTGTTTATAGTACGACTTTGGTTCTCTCGTTTTTCTTTCATTTTGCCGTTTTATGGTCGTTACATCACATAATTCAATACACTACACAGGTCCAATACACTAACTGGTGTATAAATTTCCCGTTTTTGTAAATTTGATGAAAAATTGAAAATAATAACATTTGAAGATAAGAACATTCATGAGAAACCTGCAAAAAATATAAAAGGTAAATCGTGTGTAAATCCAATTACCGAAAACTGGAGCGAAAAGATTTTTGATTGACAGAGGCGGTCAGTGTGATGGATACCTGTTTCTCCACCATTGCAGATAGACAATAGGGTATTAAACATTGACGTCATTGCACCGTTTGATTAACATGTAGCAAATAAGATAAGGACACGTATACAAAAATGGCAGTCAGGCAGGTTGCAGAGATGATAGGACATAATCCATAGTCTAGGATATCTGTCTCCGTCTCATTGCAGAGACAATAGGACATTATACATCTCCTTGCACAGTTTAATTGGCAGTGGGCAAATAAGATAAGAACACGTATACAAAAATGATTTAGCGTTTAGCGTCCGGGGTGTCTGTTTCTCCCTCATTTTACGAATATCAAGCCGGTGTTACACAGTTGACGCAAGGCCCCAAAATCTTTACATATTTGACAGTTGTCATAATTACTATTCATCTGTTAACGCGGTTATTTTGGCATCCTGTTCGTGTATTCTTAAAAGCTGTACAGTACGGACGTCGTAGTTTTCACTGTGCTTGTCTCCTTCACCATACAGCCGTCGTGCTAGAAGACAAGTTATAGACAGCAGGTGGGTACTGAATGTTGTATTGACAATCAACCCAGTTGTTGCTCTCTGTTGTGTTTGTCCTTTTGTGTGCGCGTGTTTGTTTTTGCCAATCATTCGAAAGTATTTGCTGTCAAAATGCTATCTTCTGAGGTAGATTTTTTTTTCGGGAACGATGGGAGCCTATTGTCCAGCCCATACGGCCGTACGACCAACTGGTTACGAGCTTGCCATTAGACTCCCCTTGCTCACTAAGAAATCTGCTTGGAGATTACCGATTGCCATTTAATAGCACGTGGAGTCGTCGTCGATGTAGCTGCTCAAAGCCGGACTGGTTTAGAGCTGGCGTTACACAGTCGACGAACTTTTTAGCCTCCCGCGCAAATATCCAAAGTCTTTAGATATTTAGATATTTGACAGATTGTACCCTGAAGCCAAACATGTGCATCCCAGGCATGTTGGTAACATCGTCTGTTTTGCTACCTTCAACCACGATGGGACTTGGTAGTTCTGAGAGTATTGTAAGCTTATGAAACGGGTTTCGTTTTCATGCCACATCTACCTAGCACGTCAGTGGTATATGTGTACGGTAAAACTATGGTATCAAACGTCGACAATGTGCTCTGTAACCTAGATATGTGGTAAAGAGAAGAGCGCACGGCATTACCTGCCCGCTGCGCACCTTTGTTTCGCCAGCAGCTGCCCTTTGTTTACCGGCCTGGCGGCTCACCCTTTGATCAGTACGTTCATAGCTCGGTTTCCCGCGGTTTCTGTTTTCTAGCGGTAGGAATATGCAGATAACACTTAAGTTTTTGTGACTATAATAAATTATGGATATTTTGCTGGGTAATGCTATATTTTCGTTCGAAGTTTTGCTCGTTCGAATGGTGAGGTCGTTGTAATCTACACCGTTCTCATTTTTGTTGTACCGTCCCTGCTTTTTCAGATACTACTATATGAGTTCATGAGGAGAAGAGACCGACTCTTGTCAGTCATGAGTCAGTCATTTCGATTGGGTCTGTCTTTACTAGTACGTGCTGGGTCCTCTTGTATTCCCGTTAACGTTTTGGTTGATTAATTTTGGTTGACCGACCGACTGGAATTTGTCACAAGTTTGTAATTCTTTAAAGTCGCCATTTATTTTAGAGATATTATCGGTAAATCAGTGAATATGTTCTATTCCATACACTCTAAGATTTTTGTTGGTGGTGTGGAAAATTAAAAGCGACAAACACAAATGCAATCCAGCTGCAGTTGGTTAACTTTGATTTGAGATATCATCGCGCCCTTACTCTTCTTCCTCTTACATCATTTTAATACTAGTATCTTGTGCTAAAATAATAAAACAAACTGTAATCCCCAGGCTGTGCGATGTTGGAACTAACCGCGATAACAAAGGGAAGACACAGTGCTGCGGTATGCCAGTTTCCTTGGTCCCCAATACTAAACTGCTTGTTACGAAAAACTATCAACCTGGATTTGCAGTGAGAAAAACACGTACCCTTAGCTAACAAATACCAACATGCTGTTGGGAAAAGTCCAGGAAAAAGTAAATTCAAAAGTTACATACTGATTCTGTATTACATCTTTCATATGGTTTTTCAAACATTCTTGTTTGACATATGGTTAATGGTGTGATTGATCACTCTGGGGCGGTTATCTTTTTTCTCTTGAAGACAAAGGTTGCTAGCCTGGCGGCCATTTTGGTTTCCATGGCATGGTCCCGTGATACCATCTTCCCTGGGGGTGCCGAGGAGCTGGGGAACTGATATGTCGCAACCAAGAGATCGTCAACCTAGATAATAGACACCGATTGCATGTGCACTTGCCAAGTTTCCTAAAAAAACGAACACGTGTACTGCACTTCAAAATAGAGATAGGAGACCCAAGCTCACACCACTTCTTCTATGCCTCCAAACCCACAAACCACAAAAAATCTCGACCATGGCAATTCCAGAAATTGAACTCAAAATTTTTGAATTCCCAACGTTAACCGCAATACCGTATATAGCCGTTAGAAGCACATTCTTTGACTTGACATTACATTTCTTTAACCGACCCACCTAATATTTTCACGATCCATCCACAGCATCTCGAGTTACCCTTTTATATACTTTTCAATGTTGTGTCGGCCGGAAAAGACATCGTCTGCAAGGGGCGAAATTCTGATGCAATGCTTACCAAACATCCAAGGAAAAGCGGGAAAAGCCGGGTTTCACGCAGGCACATTACATACACTCTACCGACCTATGCTTATCGATGGGACTTAGTGTGGAACTCTCCCAGCCCCTGTTTCTGTCACAAATAAGGCATGAACTATCTTCAAATCTCTCCAAACGTTCGAGTATGCAATGATAATCACCGTTAAAGAGGAAAAGACGACGACGACCAGACTAGTGAATTTGAATAATCTAGACAGATAATTTTAATACTTCAACTGAGGCCATTTAATTAATAGCCCCTTGCCCTTGTAAGAGGCCTACCCTTATGAATGGCAAAGTATGGCAGCCTCTTTGGTGCAAAGTGAGCGATATCTCAGCAAGCGTTTGGATTTGTGAAATAGAATTTGGCCATGCTTTGTCTAGTTTAGGCGACTTAATAAAAAGAAATCCAAGGTCAAGTTCGCCCATGGTCGCATAACACAGTACTAAATGGGCGATCCCCCTTAGTCTGTAACTGTAGTAGTTCAGACACAAAGTAGTGCAGGGCAGTGCTGGCGAAAACTGCAGAGAGATTCTTCTGTGCACGACATTTAATTGCCCAGGAAGATTACCAACTCCTTTTTAGAGCAAGTATGGAGTCGTCGGCGCGGTAGACTTATTACCTTATTTGCTGCTCAAAGCCGGGCTGATGTAGAGCAGGTGCTACACAGTCGACGAAATAAATTCTTAGCTTTCTGTGTAAACCCCCATTTGAAAAAAAAAAACATTGGTGGATTGTACCCTGAAGCCAAACACGTGAGTCCCAGGCACATGGGTAACATTATGAGTTTTGCAACCTTCAACCACGACGGGATTTGAAAGTTTTGAGAGTCCTTCAAATTTATGCAACAGGTGTTATTATCTAAACGGTATATCTATGATATCAAACTTCGACCATGTGCTCTATAAGCTAGAAAGTTGTTTGTATCAAGAGGAAGGGGCAAGGCATTATACCTGTCGGCTGTGCGCATCTGTTACGCCCGCAGGTCGGGCGGCTCACATTTTGATCAGTATATGTTGGTATCGCAGTTTCTCTCTGCTTAATAGCAATGGAAATATATAAATACAGCTATGTTTCTATGTGGTCTTAAAAAAAGGGATCTTTTCCTTGGTAAGTTGATATTTTTATTGACAGTTTAAGATGTGTTCGTTCAAAGGAGTACTTAGTACCTGTACTGTAGTAATTAGTACCGTTGTCATTGTCGTACCGTTCCTGATTTTGGGAGAATATATCCGTTCTTTAGGCAGAAAAGACCGACGCCTGCGTATACTTTTCGAAGCGATCGCAAATTTGTTACTAGTACGACTTTGGTTCTCTGGGTTTTCTTCCATTTTGTCGTTTTATGGTCATTACATCACATAATTCAATCTACTACACAGGTCCAATACACTAACTGGTGTATAAATTTCCCGTTTTTGTAAATTTGATGAAAAATTGAAAATACTAACATTCATGAGAAAACTGAAAAAAAGATAAAAGGTAAATCGTGTGTAAAATCAAATCACTGAAAACTGGAGCGAAAATATTTTTGATTGACAGAGATAGTCAGAGTGATCGGTACCTGTTTCTTCATCATTGCAGATAGACAATAGGGTATTAAACATTGACGTCATTGCACCGTTTGATTATCATTCAGCAAATAAGATAAGCACACGTATACAAAAATGGCTGTCAGGCAGGTTGCAGAGATGATAGGAAATACTCCACAGTCTAGGATATCTGTCTCTGTCTCATTGCAAAGACAATAGGACATTATACATCTCCTTGCACAGTTTAATTGGCAGTGGGCAAATAAGATAAGAGCACGTGTACAAAAATGATGCGACGCCAGCATTTTGCGTCCGGGGTGTGTTTCTCCCTTATTTTACGAATATCAAGTCGGCGTTACACAGTCGACGCAAGGCCCAAAAATCTTTTCATACTTGACAGTTGTCATAATTACTATTTATCTGTTAACGCGGTTATTTTGGCACCCTGTATTCTTAAAAAGCTGTGCAGTACGGACGTCGTAGTTTTCACTGTGCTTGCCTCCTTCACCATACAGCCGTCGTGCTAGAAGACAAGTTATAGACAGCAGTTGTTGCTCTCTGTTGTGTTTGTCCTTTTGTGTGCTCGTTTTTGTTTTTGCCAATCATTCAAAAGTATTTGCTGTCAAAATGCTATCTTCTAGGTAGATTTTTTTTCGGGAACGATGGAAGTCTATTTTCCAGCCCATATGGCCGTACGACCAACTGGTTATGAGCAGGCCAATAGACTCCCCTTGCCCACTAAGAAATCTGCTTGGAGATTACCTATTGCCATTTAATAGCACGTGGAGTCGTCGTCGCTGTAGCTGCTCAAAGCCGGGCTGGTTTAGAGCTGGCGTTACACAGTCGACGAACTTTTTAGCCTCCCGCAAAAATCTCCAAAGTCTTTAGATATTTAGATATTTGACAGATTGTACCCTGAAGCCAAACATGTGCATCCCAGGCATGTTGGTAACATCGTCTGTTTTGCTACCTTCAACCACGATGGGACTTGATAGTTCTGAGAGTATTGTAAGCTTATGCAACGGGTTTCGTTTTCATGCCACATCTACCTAGCACGTCAGTGGTATGTGTACGGTAAAACTATGGTATCAAACGTCGACAATGTGCTCTGTAACCTAGATACGTGGTAAAGAGAAGAGCGCACGGCATTACCTGCCCGCTGCGCACCTTTGTTTCGCCAGCAGCTGCCCTTTGTTTACCGGCCTGGCGGCTCACCCTTTGATCAGTACGTTCATAACTCGGTTTCCTGCGGTTTCTCTCCGTTTTCTAGCGGTAGGAATAAGGAGATACAAC